CGATTCCAACTCGGCTTGCGACCTTGAAAAACAATTTGTCGAATTCGGTCTTTTTGTGCCAAATGGCAGCTTTTGTCTCTCTATGAAAGAAAATCTGATTGGACCCGTCTGATCTGACTGGCAGTGTGCACAGGCCCGGCGTCTTAACCCACCCAGCGCGCAGAGCACATAACCTTTGTCCCCACGTACCAGGATACAGATGGGGAATATCAGAACTATTCCTGTAGCTCGGCAAAATACAACAGTCAGTTTAAAATCGGTCGCTTTTAAGCACATGCGGGCTGTCCCAAAAATGCTATTTTGGGAAAATCGATGGTACATTTTTGAACCCTTATTTATAGTTGTTTTTGTTTTTGTTTTGTTTTTAGACAAGGAGAGTTTTCTCTATAACCAAACAAATATACACACCAATGTAACCAAACTTCTCCTATAGGTAGGGCAATGCCCACTTTTGGTGTAGGTCAAATTTCTGGAAACCCAAGAAATCTGGGTTAGCCCACCTGTCCTTAAAAGCGACCACATTTTCATCACATAGATAAAATTGAACGTGACGATCGCACGTTCACAAAAAAAAAGGAATTCGAATAAGAATTAAAACCGTTAGATCAAGCACATTCGTCACCCGAATTCTCGTCATGGCGTGGTGTAAAGTAACAATATTGCTTGGTCTACTCAACATTTTTAATATTAAAACTTCACTCCAGTTGTTTTATACAAATTGATTTTTGTGCTCAAATGCCACACGAACCATTCAAAAAGAAAATGTATAACTTAAAACAAGTGTGCATGTCTACAAGTCGATCATTCCTACAATGTTTTTGTTGCTATATCATCACACCATCGTCGATAGGCGTCCTGTCGGGGCAAAGTGTTAAAAAGGCACGTTCAACTCATGACCATAGAACGCAGTACAGGCAATCTTGCCCGTGTTCAACTTTAGTTTAGGGTCTAAAGGTTAAAAAAAAACTTACATAAAGAAATAGGAGTTGTGAAAGCGCTAATGACACTGCTGTTCCCGAGGTAATGAAGGTGTATCTGGAAGTAATAAGTTCCTTTGCCCAGGTCTCTCACTTGTACACTGCCAGTGCAGGAGTAGACTCCTTGTCTGTTGTAACTCACACTGGCATCTACACGACTGATTTGTACCTGCTGGGAATTCACACAGATCTGATACAGGCAGGGGTAGGGGATGTCTTGTAATTGATAACAATACACTTTACACACACACTTACAGACACATTTACACACACACACACACACACACACACACACACACACACACACACACACACA